TAGTACGAAGCTGCTCGGGAATGCATAAAGCGACATCACACATCATAGAGTTGTGCAAGTTGGTCAGCACTGTGTAGAGTGTACAGGCCGACCACCCAAGGCATCGACGGCCATTAGTGAATCGTGTACAATCGTCTCTCGATAGTGGGTATAAAAGCCGTTTTCCTGGCCAGCACCAAGGATCAAATCTCGAACACTCAAAACTCCCCTAATACCATCATACTAACTTAAGTTTCGGACGGGTTGAGTCAGGAATCCCTCTCCTAACATCAATTTTCTGTGCAGGAAGGCGATGCTGAAGCGGAAATCTAAGTCCTTGCTCTACCTTGGGTTGATCCAGGGACGACGCTATGACCCAACTGACCCCCTTGCCTCAAAAATCCATATGGACGACCTTGTGTTCTTGGGATCGAGCCGAGTCGTACTGACTCCCCGATTACAGCGTGAAGTTGCACAACATATTTAGGCGATGCTGAAGCGAGAATCTAAGTCCTTGCTCTACCTTAGGTTGATCCAATGGACAGCGCTCTAACTTGACCTGTCATCGACCTCCTCACCTCAAAAATCCACACGAATGATCTTATATTCTCGGGATCGAGCCGAGCCAATTATATTCTCGGGATCGAACCGAGCCATAATGACCCCCCAACCACGACGGGAAGTTTAGACAACATGCTTGATTTCTTTTCCTTGTAAAGTTGGTATCAGTTCGTTCCCCTCCATTAAAGGTGAAGAAAAATATCATTTCAGGTCATTAAATGGAACGGTGAAGAAAAAAACATGTAGCACATACTTTTTATATATTTTCATAATGTAACGCATCCTTACATGAAAACATGCATTACACTTTGATTCTTTAGAATGAAAAGTATGATAACATTTTGGGTTTCAAAGCAGTCATATAAATTTTTGATATTGTAGGAGAACATATATTAATCCGTGGAAATCTAATCATATCTCGTATGTGATAATTTGTGACTAGTACATCTTGACTTTGCTTGTGATCGGATGTTTTGTGCTCGTTAATTTCAGCTATGGAATTTTCAAAAGTAATGCCATTTAACATGTTTAGTGAAGGCATGCTTTGTCAACTTTGTGATGAGTCCTCATCAGTAAGTCAACCTACCATGGCTGTATTCACCCTTCAGTCAACCACTAAGGTTTTGATCAACATGTCGAGTGACATCTTTTCACAGTTGGTGTTATTTTTTATGATTTGTACAAATTACACTCTCACTCTATGATTTCTATGACTTCCTATAAATTATTACTTGCTATTAATTGTTGGGGAAAATATCTCCATATAAACAAACCATAAACATCAACAATCAAATACAATTTGGAAAGTCCCAATGCTAGATTTACATATTAAATAAAAAATTATTTAATTCTTTTACCATAGAAGAATAATAAAATACAATCAATATTTCTCTTTCCTAAGCTTGACCCAAATCTAGTCCTAAAATCTCTTGTATGTCATCTCATATAAATCCTTTAAAAAATCATCTAAAAGGATCTATTGTGATGGTACTGATTCTTTGTTATCTTTGCTGCGAACCATCGAAGCACATCATCTTTACGTTGCTTCTTGCTACATCGATGAAAACAAAGCATCTGATGCGGGACTGATGACCCCTTTGACATAGTATGTTTCTGAACCAATAGGATGTTGGGAGTACCTTCTTCCCTGTACCTTTCCCCAGTTGTATTAATTGCAGTCACATGTCCATTAATGTAGGAAGCAAACATTCAACGCCTAGTGTTCATAAACTATCTCAAAGCCGGCAAATGCGACTCATCTCTCGCCATGATCGGCACTAAGAGCTTTGGAATCTCTCTGGGGCATGGGAAAACGTTTGAATGAAGTGAAACGAAGCCCGGTTTCCCATGCACCATTTTACTTGCTTGATAAGAGAGTGTGGTGGGCAGCATTGTTAGGGAGCTACGATCGCACCTTTTGATGCTCTTGAAATGTAGGCATTGAAAGGGGGAGTGTTCCTTAAAACAGCAAGCTGTGAGTGGTATTAATTAATCTCAGCTGACTCTTGCATTTATCATACAATTCCTTCATGGCTGGTTGGTCAATTACTAGAAGTTCTTTTAGGTCAGTAAGTTGACATTAGACCTTGCAGAATTTTTCTGTGATATTAGCTTTGATGTGATTTCAAGTTTCCATCTGGAAATGCTACCACATTTGCTGCTTTGCTCGAAAAGAACCAGTAAATAGCTGGATATTATTTAGAGTCGTAAAATAGAGAAGAGAGAAAAAATGGATAATCATTTTGAAACGATAGATGTCGAAAGAATATTTTATTTATTGTTAAAAGAAACAAATACATACCTATTTATAGAGTTTCACTTATAGTTCAAATTCTTAATAAATAAATAAATATCAAATAAATTTATATATGATTCTTAATAAATTTAATAAAATATTATTTAAAACTTAGAAAATAAAGGAACATTAACAGTATAAATGTCAAGCTTTACTACTGCTCTCAGTGTAGGCTTCTACTGCTATAGAAGATGCTGCAATTGACTGTTTCGACTGAGACTACCTACTAGCTATAATCATCATCATCTTGACAAACGGAAATCTCACTAGAGCTAACTAGGTAAAAAGATAGGGAGATAAGATCATGAGTTTTGGAGATGTACGAAACTCCCTTTACATTCTTTTCTTTGCAAAGCAGCACCTCCAACAGTATCGCAATCAGTAAGAAATTTCAAGAAAAATGGACATATGAAAGCATAAGTTTAGAAGGAGAAGAAGAAGATGGCAAGGCAACAGGATTAGAGGAAAACATGCATTTTTATTTGTTCCCAAAAGCAGAATTCCATGAAAAGAAAGAACCAAAAATGAACTCGGGCAAGCAGTAGAGAGAGAAGAGAAGCTGTCATTGTAACTTAGAGAAGGTGAGCAAGAAGAAGAATCCACCTCCAAAGACTACATCATCTCTTGTTGTTCTCGGCCACATCCACTGCGGGTCTTGCCACATGAAATGCCACATTGCAGCATCTGGAACTTCTCTTCCGTGAGAGGGCGAAGCAAGAGCGAGAAGACACGCATATACATACACACACACACACGGGATCGTACTTCATCTGTTGTGAAGCGGATTCGCGCCGGTGGGAACCTTCCTTTTGTCTTCTCCTATCAGCTCACTCGCGTTAAGATGGTTCTGATGGCTGTCAAACGCAGTCGGCGGGACCGAGACCGAGAGAGGAGCCAGGTCGAGGAAGGCGGCACACCGAGCGCCCTCCGCCACCAATGACGAGCGCAGAAAAGCTGGTCGCGCGACGACCATCATCGTTACCACCAGCAGCAGCACCGCCGCTCTTCCTCCCCCAACAAACGGGATCATGATATGGTGGGCTTCACAAGATCAACCGCATGCATGAACTCCTCCTGAGACTTGTAATTATCTGAGGTCAAAGCCAGTAGGGTGGGCAAAAGCCGGTGGAGGAAGGCGAATTGTTGCAGTCATTTTGAAGTGATTATTTACTACGAGGGTCATCGCAGTCTGGTGCTGAAACTTCCGTGGCCGGCGGATCCGATGGAAGTGGGCGATCACGTGAGCAGACCGGCATGATTCTGGGAACTCTCCAATTTGCTTTCTTTATGTGTATCAATTGCATCTCATCTGGGATTATGAATATAATGAGTTTTCTAAATGCTTATAAATAAACAAGATCTCCGAGGCTCAAGATACAATTAAGATATTATAGTTTCTCTCTCAATTTTTATGTTCCATCAATCTAAGTGGTCTTATGAAATGATAGAAAAATAGGAGAATGATAGTCTAATTTTAGATCGGTGTCTTTGCGGATCACACAGAGATCATTTTCATATGGTATCAAAAAGATAACCATCGTAAAATCGATCTAATGTTATTTAATTTCAATCCTAATATAAATTTTTTTTTGCATTACATATAGAATCACTGCATGCTTGATTAACAATCACTGCATGACTCATTAAAAATAGAACTCAACAGCTCTACATTGAGGTTACTGGTTGACCCCAAGAACAAGACAAGTGTATGAGAAAATGGTTAATGTACTCATTATTATTGCTCTTGGATTCTCTTCTCGAGATGGTTGAAATGCTCAACTAGTTGATCGATCAGGACATATACCTTCAGCCCTTTCCCTCACTTTCTCATCCTCCTATAGAAACAAGGAGTCTCTGTCCATTTATTTGTCGTCAAACTCTGTGCATGGAATCACTGCCTCAGAAATACTACTATTTCAAATGACTTCAGTTTCCTCTCACAATGCTGTGGTTCTACTCAAAACAGATCATGCAATCAAACAAAGGAAGGGAAGCTATTTTGTGATTCCAGTCGAAACACATGAAGCAGTCAAACAGAGAGAGCGCGACAAATTCCCACTACGAAATGATAGCCAGGCATTCTCGCAAACAACTCATCGTCACAAAGCCGATGCCACAGAGGGTGAATCGGCTGTTCAACCATTACAGCAACAACAAATCCACAATTCCTTGATCGTCCAAAATCATCTCCGAGCGCATATGTGGGAAAATTTAGATCGAGCTGATATCAGTTTTTTTGCCGTAAAATGTTTGTCAGAATTGACAAAAAAAGAACTTGTTTTGTGTGCTTTGAACAGCCAATTGCGTGAATAATAATAACCAATCGAGACACACCGAGAGTCAGCCGAAGAAGATTGGGTTCGTCGAGGCCAATCGCCGCCGTCGCGCAATGTTATCGACGGTGATTGGGTTCGTCGAGGCCAATCGCCGCCATCGCGCAATGTTGTCGACGGTGACTGGGTTCGTCGAGGCCACTCCCCGCCACCGCGCACCCCCAATGGGACTTACAGACTGATAACCGTCACTCGCCTTGCAAGCAAACCTCCGTGGGTTGTAATTGGCTTCGGTCCACCAACAAAATAGGGCCGGGTTGGTGGGTCCCTATGCCAAACCCAATCCCACGCCTCTCCGCCGCTCTCGCCTTATCCCCAATCGCTTGATCTCCTCCTCCGCCACATCCTCCGATCTCCTCCGCTTCGGTTCCAATCCCTATCCAAAAATCCATTACTTAAGAGAGTCTGTTTCCTTTTTCCCCCATTGCCTCCCACTGCGGTTGAGGGGGTCTCTTTTAGGGTTTCTTCCCCGCCCTTCATGGCTCTGATTCTGGAAGCTCTGGTTGAAATCTCGCGGAAGCCCAACTTCGCGGACGTCGCCGTGGAGCTCGCGATGTTCGCCGCCCCCCTCTGGATCGCCGTCCTCGCCGGGCTGCTTCTTGGATGGGCGTGGCGGCCAGGCTGGGCTGCCGGGCTGGTTCGCGCGTTGAATCCCGATTCCGCGCCTCCCCCTCAGCCGTCGTGTTCTGCTGGCCCCGACTCGTCCGTGGCGACGGCGCCGACGAAGGCGGACGGTGATAGGTAGATGTTTTGACCTTTGGTCGAAGTTTGATTCCTTTCTCTTCTTCTTTGGCCAAATCGTGTCCTTTTGGGGGTTCGCAGGAGCGAGAAGCTGGCGGTCACCGAGGAAGACTTGGAGCACCTGTGTCGGCTGGTGGAGGTGACGGATGGGGGCCCGGTGTGGCACAAGATGATGGACAAGTCCTTGCCCAACATGAGGTATCTAGCGTGGCGGAGAGATCCTGAGGTAAAAGCTGCAACTTGTACATGCGAATACTTTGGTCACTGAAAGTTGGATGTATGTTCTTCCGGTCGAGAATTTATGTAATTGTTGTTTAGTTGTTCGTGATAATGCCCTTTTGGGGATGCACTGGGTCAGTTGGCATAATTTGGTGTTTTCATGCTAGACGGGTCCGCCGCAGTACCGTAGCAGCACTGTATACGAGGACGCAACACCGGAAATTCTGAGGGATTTCTTCTGGGATGACGAGTTCCGGATCAAGAATGGTTGGGATGATATGCTCCTCCAGCACACCACACTGAAGGAGTGCCCAACGACAGGGACGATGGTGGTTCAATGGGTTCGCAAGGTATGAATCATGATGGATTTTTGTTACAAATGCAGGGACTGATTTTACTGCTTGTCATGTTTGTTTATCATCTTTCTCTCTGTGCAGTTTCCTTTCTTTTGTAGCGATAGGGAGTATATCATTGGACGCCGCATATGGGAATCGGGAAGGACTTATTACTGCATAACAAAGGTACTGAAAAGATGTTTCCAACGCATATGAGAATGAATGTTGTCATCTCTGGACAATGGCTTTTGCTCTTTGCACATAACTAAATTTGATGCATAAAATGAGCTAAATGCTATTTCAACAAGGGATGTGAAAAAACATGATGCCATTATTTCAGTTGATGAAGAGAGTATTGCGATAATTTATGAACCTAAAGAAACACCAAATGGAGCCCCCCTAAAAAATTTTAATTAGAAATATGCTTACTAACCTGTGTAGGTTACATGGTGGATAGGATACCAGTCGAATGCTTGTCGGATTCATGTTTCTATTTCATTGAGGTATCAAGTTTTTGGATAACTATTGAAAAGTAATCATTTAGGGATATCACAGAGGTACTTTACTTATTTTGTGGACTTGATGTTTTCTGAATATTGATCTTTTAACGATGGACAAGAAAGATATGCAATTGGATTGTGCTCAAGTATGTAGGATGGTAATACAACTAATAAAAAAAAATTATCTACCATATATCTAAAAGACTAAACACTAGAAGATTGACTACTTGTATGCTCTTATAATTTCTAACTATATTTCCTATCATTATGAAATGATACCAAAGCCTTTCTCACATTCAATAAAAGACTTTGCCATGGCTATCGTACATCTGATTTAATTTCAGTTGGAATTAAGAAGGAAGAAGCACATGACTTATTATTGTGTTGGGGAATCATGAAATGAGTTTTGCCAGAATTAACTTCAAGAACCACATCTACTGTCTTGATGAGGATAAGAGGATTCATTCATGATAAATGGGAAGAGGAACCATGGAACCATAAGGGAGAGTAGTAAAATAGGCAAATGTTGTTGGTTCGAGAAGACAGCAATAGGATTCTCCTTTTAAATGTCAATTGCTTTTATTTTAACTAGCCAGTGGAAGTGAATGGTACTTAAAGGTCATCCTATATCAAGGGTCTGCTACTAGAGGTCATCCTAGTACAATTGACAAAAAGCTGCAGATAATCCACCAATTAATTATTGTGTCATAACCATTGTCACAAATGGACAGTGAGAAATTTTTAGAAGCACCAAAGTGTTGTAATTTCAGATACATTATAAAGTAGAGACGGTATTGAGCATCAGATCATTTTCAATAAAGCTACTGATGATTTTATCCTTTCATAAATTTTGGATTATTATATCTTTGGAATTAAATTTCTTTCTGATGAATAGGTTAGCAATGCTTGTTAGTTTACTTGTTACCATATACTATAATCCATAACTAACACTTCTAATTGTCAAGCATCTGTGGCTTGTGATGCCACATATCATGTCTTTTTATTGCAATTATTCATATATTTTCTCTTTTGTTTCCAAAATCTGACATAGGAGTGTATGAGTATTATTTATAATGATTGAATTTCATGCTTCATTGAAGAAAACTGAATGTAGTTTGTGGAAGTAATGGTATATGATATAGGGAAGTGAAGAAATCTTACATGCAATGAACATAAATTAATGTGTGATAAATTCCAAGCAGAATGATTATATGATGATATTGGTTGTTTGGTTGTTTTCTTTGATGCATCTGTCATCCTTAGCTGATGCATCTGGTTGTACACATTCAGTTCAATCAAGGTGTTAAATAACTTGAATACAAATGTGTAGCTCTTATTTTATTATTGAACTTGTTGGTACAATTTTCTTATGCATCTCTAGTAGCTTTGATACTGTAATATCATCTTAAGATTAGCTTGTTAGGGTCCAGAATGTGCTGAAGGACCTGCTTCAGCACCAAAGTTGAATTACATGTAACAGAACTTGCGATTTGTGTTTTATCCCAAGCGAGAAAATGATTTCTGTTTTAGGAGAATATCTTATCAGTAAGGTTTTTTGGAATTATGTTTTGATGATCAGTAGCTTTATTCTCTGCTGTTTGTTTGGCCTCCATAGTTATCCGAAATTAATTAATAGAATTTGTTTTTTCAGTATTAACTAATGCAAATTCACTAATTAATCACTTAGTTTATTAATGTGTTTTTCAAAATAAATCATTGACATAGACTTTAAAAACCTTATTAATGATATAAAATTCTTAATTAATGCCTTATAATTAATAAAAATAACATAGGATGTCAAAAATTTCAAGCTTTTCCTCAATACCAATTTGTTAACTGAAAATCTTCTTAAATAAAGCTAAATTCAGAAGCTTTTAGTAAGAAGTTCTTCAGGAATTTTCTTTTGATTCTATTAACTTTGTTATCGAGAAAGGCATGAATCTGAATTTTACTCTTCTTTGTGGCCATTATGGTCATCATAATTTTGTGATTGTTGCAACTTAACCTGCCTGGTACACCTTTTGTTCATTTACAGCAGATCGGTCTGCTGCATTCCTCTGACACTTTCCATGGTATTTAGATTTGTACTTGTGATTGCACAATTGCTGGAGCAGCTGCTTGAGTCCTAGCATGGTGTAAGCTTGAAAAATGAGCTTTAATTTGTGTGTTCTTCCCACTAAAATGGGAACAAATACAGCAACATATTTCCCAAGGTGAATGTGACATTTGAATTGACCAATCTCCCATTGTATTATCTTTTAGGGAATCCCATGCTTGGATATACCTAGGCGCAACAAACCAAGACGCGTTGACTTGTATTATTCCAGCTGGTGCATTCGTCCAGGTAAGGAGCTATTCATAGGTTTGTTTTTCATCAGCAAGTAGATAACAGGTGGTCACATTCACTTTTTTGTGCTTCATATCCAGCTGAATCAAAAAGAGATGGTCAGATGACTGCCTGCGAGGTTCTTCTGTTTCACCATGAGGATATGGGCATTCCATGGGAAATTGCAAAGCTGGGAGTTCGGCAGGGTATGTGGGGCTGTGTCAAGAAGATCGAACCTGGCCTGCGAGCCTACCAAGCTGCCAGGAGGACCAACAAACCACCATCTCGGTTTGTTTTCATGGCACAGATCAACTCCAAGATTGATGCCGAGCAGTTGAGATCATTTGAGATCAGCAGCGATGCATCAGCTGAGATTGTGGAAGCAGAGAAACAGAACTTGGCCTGTAGCATACCCAAGATCCTTCTGGTTGGTGGTGCTGTAGCCATGGCCTACACCCTTGACCATGGCTTGTTGACAAAGGCTGTCATTTTTGGAGTTGTGAGAAGGTTTGCCAAGATTGGGAAAAGATTGTGATCTGGAGTGAAAAATCTGTAGATGAATATATAATTAAGCATCTCTGCGCACCAATTACCATTGTGTTTACAGTCTTCCCCTCTCATGTGACGAGGTTGTAGAAGTAGATGCTAATAGAAAGACATTCTGAACCTTTTTGAAAAGAAATCCCAGAAACAGAGCATCATTTCATCCTCTATTACTTTGTTCCGTCGGTTTCTCATGTGCTTCTTGTGGTCTACATTGTAAAGGTGTACGTGGCCTTCTCAGTTTCATTGATTTCTCAGCAAGCAGCAGTCCGGAAGAACACACAGGTTTGTGGTCGGGGAGATGCGATGTTGATGTGTCGAGTATCCTCCTCCTCCTCTCTCTCTCTCTCTCTCTCTATTTTGTAATTGATCCAGAGAAGATTCATCAGATTTATGTGAGAAAGATGTCCCATCAGATTTATATGAGAAAAATGTGTACAAGAGAGTTTGGAAAGTGATGAGAATCCATTCAATTATGATTGCAAATGGCATCATTATATTGTGAAAAAGGCATTTGTAATAGATTGACAATGGACATCAGAAAAATTGTTCTTTTGCGGAATTATTCCTTTCTTCACAGACATTGCAAAGTAGGGTATCAAAAACGAAAAGTTAAGAATAGAAAAAAAAAATTCTAATATACAATTTATCTGATACGTCACACTGTGAATAAAAAGATATACCAATTATTTGTATTCAGATGGCTTTTGGCATCATCATGCTATTCTCATTTTCACAAAATTAAGCATAATAATGACAGGCAAATCCATCATTATCTCTTAGTTATAGCCACATATTTACGTATGACAATTTCATTATGTCAACCACATGAGATCACAGCCCCAAAGACACTTTGTCAAACAAATGCATATGTTACAAGTATGTACCAACCAACACTCACGGAACGAACACAACGTGATTTGCCCTTCTTTTTTTTCTTTTTACAATACTTCTATTCTAAACATTGAGTACCGGTTTCCAAGTAATACAGAGTTCAGTCACGACGAGGTGCTGCAGCATTGCGAGGACAACCGAAGCTTGGATGAGAGAAGGAAATGTATCAAGTACTGTCATGTTTCCAATTTCTTTACTGCTCAACCTTTCATTTGAGGTATGATCAGTCGGCCCTGAAGGTTCAGGCTGAGGAGAACCATCGCTGTCTCGGCTGGGTCCCGAAGATTCAGGCTGATGCGCACTATTGCTGCCCCCAATATTTGCAGGTCCTGGCAGATCGTCAAAATGCTCTCCACCTCTGCTCTCATAATTGGACCTTCCATTATCACCGTCATCTCCTGGAATTCTTAGAACCTTGTCTGGCTGTGCCTCAACACCAACCCATCTTAGATGAAGCTGCCAGATCAGTTGTTAAGTACAAAAGAAAAATCCAGAACTTTTGCTTCGAGGCTCTAACGGATCTGTAGGTTTTGAGTACCTGAAGGTACAGGTTGACCTCATCTGGACGAGAAAGAAAGGGGAAATCGCCACCTGTTTTCAGGATGGCACGTCTGGCTCCAGGAAATCTTTCACTCACTTGATCTTTCAGCTGTTGCGGAACAGCACAGTAGTCATTCGTCTGCAAGACATGGCAGCAGTAGTTAACATGGTACCCCACCAACTTACTAGATCCTCATAACTTAATAAATGTGTGACCGTTTCAGTCAAAATGGATGCTTCTAAATTATACTGCCTGTATGCTAGAATAACAGTGGCTAACATGAGGGATAATTCCTAGCTTACACAATGCTGTTGCCGCATGGCACAGAGAATTTCACACATTAAAAAATGTGTGACCATTTCAGTCAAAATGGGTGCTTCTAAATCATACTGCTTGTATGCTAGAACAACAGTGGCTAACATGAGAAAGAATTCCTAGCTTAGACAATGCTGTTGCTGCACAGCACAGAGAATTTCTCTTTTTAGTTACTCCTATGTGATGTTAGACCTGTTTTCAGCAAAATCTTAGGTATGAAATCAGCAATATGATGAAACAATGAAAAAGCCACACGAGAACTAAACCAAAGAGGAGAACCAGACCCAAGAATATCTAATAAGCTAAATACGCAACAACGAAATGTAATGCCTCAACTATTTGTAGGGCTAATGGATAATTTCACTGTTGAACTCTGTATGAAGCAAATTTTCTGGTTAAATCAATAACATCCCAATCCTTTTAAATAGTTTTTGATAAAATTTACTCAGGAACGTAACATACATCCATAATAGTGATGAAGGAATCTGAGAGCAAAAGAGGACCAACTGATGCAACGTTAGCATTCAACTTTAACCTTGATGATAGATCATCCCTTGACAATGTTTCTACCTGCAAATTAAGTGTTTCAGAATATTACAAGAAAACACAAAAATTAAAATGTGCTTGTGTTTATTAAAAGAAAGGAAAATAAAGGAATATGGCAACTGATAATGCACATACACAAATACATGTGAATTTCTTGATTCAGCAAACCAATAGAAAATATTATCATCAAGGATTGCCATACCGACCCGTACCGCCCGGTACGAGCGGTACGTACCGGTCCGATGGTATATCGGTACGCGGACCGCCCGTTACCG